TTCTTTTAAATCCCTATGGATCTTTCTTTTCATAGAAGATGTGGCATTATGGCAGAAGTTTTAAAATACTAGGAATTTGAAGAGTGAAGGGAAATGCTTCAGCTGTGCCTGAACTGAAGAGATAGGATGGCTGTATATGAAAAGTCGCTATTTGTGTCTCCAGAGTGCTGTCAGCTCTGGACTGAGAGACAGGATTCAAGTTTTCAAGCCATCCTGTGGAGACCGAATGAAATTGGCTCCAAAATGATAACAGTGTATCACAAATAGAAATTAAAACAGAGTGAGAAGAGTGAAATCATCTTCTGGTCTTTTTTATGCTGCAGCAGAGACCACAGGCTGGGATTTTCACCAGTGTGTAACTCTTAGGGTTGAGATCCAGTCTATCCAACATCTATTTCACTCCTTTAAGTGATCCAGTTGCTCTGCATTCCAGGATTTTCTATCCTAAAGAGCCAAAATGGATTAGGCAACTCCCTGTTTGGTCTGCAACTTCCCTGGACACTTACCTTTGCTTGTTCACGCAGACTCAGCAGACTTTGGGGAGACAGGTCCATTTCTTCACCCACTGCAACCAGGGTTCGGTTCCTGCCTAAAACACAAGTGAAGTCTGTGGCTCATGAGCTGCGTGGCTGGAGTTGGCAGGGAGCATTCTTCTGTCCTTTCTCTTATCCTTCAGCTCTGGATCCCTCTTGCCAGCCAAACCCATGTCTCCAGCCCAGGAGAAGAAGAGCGAGGCCTCTTCACTATCTCCCTTCTTAGGAGAGAGGCAATTTCTTTTCCTTTCTATGTTTGCCCAACCCTTCTTTCATCAGTAAAGAAAGCACTTTTGAATACAGGGAGATCATCTACAAACTCTTGTCTTGTCATCTGGGTAATGGGAAGTGTTTGTGGTCTCCCAGAATTATGAACAGCATTTACAAGATTTCATTTTCAAATGGCCTTCCAAGATGGTGCTTCACCTTTCTTCCCTTTGCCATCACTTTCTATGATTCAGGGTTTGAAACATGTTTCCTAGTTCCCCTGATGGAGGGTTTGTAAGACTTGGAAGGCTTTGCAGCCCCAGTCACCCATGTACAAGGAAGCATCCAGACACCGTATGTGTCCCCTCCCAGGTTACAGATTGTCATTCCAGTCCAATGTGAATAAAATATGAATTTCTAGGCTTGCCTTGAAGTTACTCCCCATTACCCTGAAAAGTAAGAAGGGCCAAAGTATTTAAAATTCCCCTTTTCCTATAAGGGGATGTTCAAGGTTTGCCCACTTCTTGGAGACACAGTTACAACAGGGTAAAGAGAAAATGATTACAGTTTAGGTTTCTAATTTCCCACCTCACACTAGACTTTGGAACTTATTCAGAGTTCTTTAGGACATAAAAGGAATTTATGATAATTGAAACAACAGGAGAAGACTAGAGTTGCTATGACTCAAAAAAAAAAAAAAAAAATGGCATTTGAAGCTCTGTACCACGCTTTCCAGCTAAAAAAGAAAGGAAAAAAAAAAAGTGGAGATGAGAGTGATTTGGTACTTATGGCCAGAAGAGAGGAAGAGAAGAGAATTCAACATCTTCCCAAGCATTCCTCAGCACTGCATTCATTACACCAGCAGGTGTGCTTTGGAACTGACAACACCATGTTTCTAATTTCAATAAAATCAGTTACTAACTGTCTCTAAAGTAATTCTGAGAAGGTAAATCTAGAATGCTATTGCACAGCTTTCCACTGGAAACAGCTATTGATCAGCAAGTGGAAGTACAATTTGACAGCTTAGCACTTTGCATTTAAGGGACAGAATGAAGAAGTAGTATCATTATGCAGTGATGGAAGCAGTAGAGAAAATGCTCATCTAATTCAGGCAGTGATTTTTTTAAGCAGTTTTCCCAAGTGTTAGTGAAAACTTTTGTGTCTTGAGATGAAATGCTGAGACTGTAAATCTATTACACAAGGCTATTTTCAACTGACTGTATGCTTACACCCATTTGGAAGTATGCTGGTAAACAGAGAAGGGGCATTAAAACAGAAGATGGTGGTTACAGGCACAGAGATCACTTGTTCCGTGATGGATGCTACTGGTGTACGACCGTTAGCTCTTCTGTGGAGATTTTAAAATGAGGAATGGGTTTGCTATATTGAAGCCAGTGCATGATATGACCTCAGAGAAAACAGTTAAATGAATCTAAAGCAGAAATAGAGTTATTTTACCTAGAATTAAGTATCCCAGAAGATTCAAGCTCTTTGAGACAGAAACAGAAGTGCTTAGTCTGAAGGCTGCCAAATTTGATTGCACGCACTGAATGGATACCTAGTAAAGAAAATCTCAGCAAAGCCTGAGGGAAAATTATGTTGACACTCATGTATTATCAAAAGTTGAATGTTCAGTAGTCACCAATACAAAGAGGCTGAAAGTTGAATCTTGATCTGCTTATTTGGGACAGAGTTTGAATTGTGCTTGCTCAGCAAGACAGACCCAGTGGAGCCATGCTTTGAACTCAAGAGGCAGTGAGGGAGACCTGGATGTCTGCAAGTGTTTGGCTGACCTTTCTGCATGGTTAATATTGCACAATTTGTTAGGCTGTCTGTTAGAAAAAAATATATTGGCTCAGAGCAGTCAGTGATTGTGTTGTCCTAAAACACAAAACCAAGCTTTCTTTGTAAGAAAGAAACACAAGCAATTGGAAGCCACATTGCACATTTTCTGTCATTTGCACTAAATAAACCCTCAAATAAACTAAAAAAAGTTTTCATCCAACAGACATGCAGGTGAAGTGACAGCATTGTGCCAGGAACTTATGGTCAGATTTTGTCCCTCAAAAATGGTCTCCTTGCATCAGAAGCACAGTCACTGTAGGCTTCCTGGACAGTTTTTGAAGAAGGTAGCCTTTTCCAGAAGCTGGCAAACATCTTGGCTAGACTGACTTAGAGTAACACCATGAGGCTATTTCTTTCTTTTGACTGCTGACAGGCTCTGGAAAAAATGAGCTCCTAATGAAGGAGATTCAACTAAGTGCCTACTTATTGGGGCTGCCCAAGTACAAATAGGATTGATGTAGGTTTTAGTTAATAATTAGCATATGAAAAGAGACTCAAGTTGTATCTCAAAATCTTTTGTCCCCAGAGACCCAAGGTGTTACTTTTCCTTAAATGTTATCAATGGATTTAGCATCACTAATACCCTATTTTAGGCTGTGGTATTTCTGAGACATGCCTCCATATCCCAATTTCTAAGGTACTTTGGCAGAGATCCAGTGAAAGCATTACACTTTCCCTGAAATCAGGTCTGTAGATGAACAGGACCTGACTCTTCTCTCCTTGCACAGGGACAACTGCAGCAATGCCCCTGTGCATGTAACAACTAACGTCCAGCTTCTGGAAGTAACTAGCAGGTGATGCTAAACACCTTTTCCTGTTGCCTGTAATGGAATTTCAGCACCTTGTCAGACTGTATCCCAAACTCACTCTTGGCAGACAATGACCAGCCTTGGTTCAGGGCCTGCTTCCCCCTGTTCCCACCCCACAAACTTCCTTAGGGAAGGGGCATTGATGGTCCCCTAGAGCTCCATCAGACCTCCATCCCTCTAACAGAGCAATTAATTAATTACCAACAATGGTAATTAATTCTGCCTGCTTCTTCTTTGGTCTCTTTTTTAAAAACAGCAAAAATCAATCCCCAAAACTGATCTGAATATGTGCAGAAAAGACAGAAGTTCTAGAAACAGGCATGGCAAATGCCCTGCCTGCACTTGAGAGGAGTGAGAGCCCATTCCGTGCACTAGAAGAAACTTTTGTCAGATCACAATTCGTGTTTAAACCCACCGACTCATTATTAGCAATTACCTGTAATTTTCCTCCGAGGGCATTTATTTTCTAAAAATAAAATGAAATTATCTAAATGCCTTGATCTGTAGTTAAACAACAGCTTTATCTCCTGGGAACACCTCCCTGACCCTAACAGCCTGTCTAGTAGATGGTCTATTCTTAGATGTCCCAAAACACGTTGAGTTCACACAACTGAATACCAGGTTTTGCAACGTGTGGGGCTATTTCTTGCTTCGCAGTCTTGATTGTTTTGTGGCAGTTAGAGAGCATCCTTTAAAGAGCAGTCCACGCATCACGCCTGCTCAATTGTAACTTAAGAAGCGTAACCCAGCAATCAAACTTAGCTCAATCTGTTTCCTCCCCGCACAGATCCGTGAGGCATTTCTAATGGGAACTTATTTTGTGTGCAGTAAGCAACCAAATACACCAAGCTCCTGCTCCTAGGAAAAACAGTGTTGTTACTGGGAGGTGACAGCCCATGAATTCCCGGGGAGGGGGCGGGGAGGAGTGAGTGTATGATGTCCTTGGACAACGAGTTTCTCTGCAACTACTGTTACATGAGAGATCGCAGGTGCGACGTGTCTTACCAAGGAAGCACGACTGAAATACTGAGTGAAGGGAAAATCCGTTTTATTTCCTCGCCTTTCTCCCCCAGCCCCGCGAATCGCTTCCTCCTTCGGCCCGGCGCAGGGACCCCAGACTCCCCGACACTGCACCGGCGGACGGGACGGGGCTACTCTCAGCCCCTCAGAGAAGACGGATTCGGCCGTCGAGTCTTTCCGCGGGCTCCTCAGAAAAGCCATTTCGGGGAAAGGGTGCAGGGTAGCGGCGAGGGTCCCTCTTCCGAGGGGTTGTCGGAGCCGCATCGAGGTGCGGGCGCCCGGCGGGGCAGACGGAGGTCTGCGGGGCTGCGCCTGCCGCCCGCGGACGGGAATCCTCACCCTAGGGGGCCCTGGGGGTAACACACAGGCGAACCCGAGGGGAACAGAGGGTCCACCTCTCCCCGAGGATCCCACACCCCACTTCCCTGTTCCTTCCCGCCCGCCCCGTCTCACACCCTGTCTCCTGCCCGGCGGCAGCTCTCCCCGATGGAACCGGCCAGGAAGGATGCAGGCGGCAGCTCCGAGGTAATTATTAATGGCCGTGCCCACCGGGGCGTGGGGGATAGGGGGGGCGAGGTGAGATAAAATGGGGCGGCGGGGAGCTGGGAGGCGGGCGCTACCGTCGCGGAGCCCCGCCGGGAGCATGGCCCTCGCCGCGCCGCTGCTGCCCGTGCTGCTGCTGCTGCTGCTGCTGGGGCGGCCGGGGCGGGGGGCGCCGGGGCAGGGAGCGAGGACCTGGTCCCGCTTCGCCCGGCTGCCCTACCCGCAGGACCAGCTTTTCCTCCACGACACCTTCCCCGACGGCTTCCTGTGGGGCGCGGGCAGCGCCGCCTACCAGACGGAGGGCGGCTGGCGCCAGGGCGGCAAGGGCGCCTCCGTCTGGGACGCCTTCGCCCACCGCCCGGCCACGCCGCCGGGGGCCGCCCCGCCGGGGCCCGTGGGCGGCGACGTGGCCAGCGACAGCTACAACAACCTCTTCCGCGACGTCGAGGGGCTGCGGCGCCTGGGGGTCTCCCACTACCGCTTCTCCCTGTCCTGGTCCCGGCTGCTGCCCAACGGGACGGCGCCCGCCAACCCCGCCGGGCTGGAGCACTACCGGCGGCTGCTGCTCCGCCTGCGGGAGGTGGGCGTCGAGCCCGTCGTCACCCTGTACCACTGGGACCTGCCGCAGGCCCTGCAGGACGCCTTCGGCGGCTGGGCCAGCCCCGTCCTGCCCCAGCTCTTCCACGACTACGCCGAGCTGTGTTTCCGGCACTTCGGCGGGCAGGTGCGCTACTGGCTGACCATGGACAACCCCTACGTGGTGGCCTGGCACGGCTACGGCACGGGGCGGCTGCCGCCCGGCGTGCAGGGAGGCCCGCGCCTGGGATACCTGGCGGCCCACCACCTGCTCCAGGTAAACGGCGGCTGGCGGGAAGGGGCCCTGGCAGCTCCTTGGCCCCCAGGCCGTGCCAAGGGGGAGGCTGCGGAGGCCGCCCTTCGTCCGCCCCGTTGGCAGACCTGTTCCCTGGTTGACCACTGGCTTGGAAGACAAATCAGTGCACCCGACAGAGTACGGGCAGCAGATCTATGGGCAAAGGATGGCCAAACCCAGAGGCGGGAGGCAGGAACTTTGTAGCTGTGATTATTTCGAGTTGGTGGAAAGGTGCAGAGTTAAAGCACTCTGTGTATTTTGCAGAAATGTTCAATCCTGACCCCAGCAGTTCGATTGCCGTTGTGGGTGGGAGAGGGGATGCACTGGGCTGCGCCAGTCCAGCGCTAGCTTGCTAAGTTGGAAATGCTTAATAAATAAGACTGTATAGGGGATTCATGTATTTGATGAAAAAATCTTACTGACTTAATGGAGATGTATGTTAGATGTGGCTGAAATGTTTTAGAGAGGTTTTCTTGACAAAGTGTGGGGGTTTTTTGAGTGTGAACGCTTTTTGAGAAAAGAGACATTCAGTTCCCCAATTAGTCTAGTAAGTGGCACAAATAGTTTGCTATATTTGAGTTTTATTAGTGTTTGTAGTATTTGCTGGGAGAAACCATTGTGAATTCTCAGAAAGAATTAACTGTGCACAAATCCTTCCAATGACAGGAGAAAGGTTTCAGGATAACTGGAATGGTGTGACCCTTAAGGCATGAGCTATTGTACCTTAATACACATTCACAAACTCCGCTAATGTCCATCAGCTCAAGGTACACTTACTGGCAGGAATTGTATCCTAATGAGTATTGTATATTAGACATGAACACCAAGAAAACAACACATGCCTTATTTGGCTTTTTGCCACTTCCCTGCATTACTTTCTTTAGTGCTACACATAAGTAAAAGGAAAAATGTAGATGGGGAAAATGTGAGTAAAATTTCAGATAAAATTCCTGGTCCTGAAAACTTTAAGCTCTTCATTTAGTTACCATGCTGTGCACATGACCGTGTTTCCTTCTTGAGTATATCCAGCATCATTGTAGTATCAGAGTCCCTCATAATCTCAAGCAGGGACTTGTTCTTGCTAAAGCTTTGAGAAAGAAGGTGCTTTTCTACTGAACAGATGAGAAACTGAGGCACAGACTTGCCTACACCATATAAAAAGTATAATTAAACCAGGAAAGTCTACTAATACTTGGTTTAGGGACAGAACTTTACTGTTAGTTTTGTTCTGGTGATTGTCCGTCAGGATTTTCACAGGAGTGCACATTTCTTTTTATGCACAGTGCAAGGTGGCATGATACTGGAAGGGGGGGGTTTTCCATGTTTCATGAATGAGGAACTGAAACACAGTTGTAACTAAGACCCAAAGTGTTCACTGGTTGTTAGTGCCCTTGTTCTCCTGGCATGTCACCTTTTTAGCATATTGGTGAGTTATGTTATAGTTCCAGCTCTTCTACAAGTCAGATCCCCACATCTCAGCTCACCTACAGAGAAGATCAGGGACATGCAGTATATGCAGAGATGCTTTCATCTCTTGACTCCTCTGGGCAGGAGTCCTCTGCAGAGGCAGAGGTAGAGCCTAACTCTTCAGCAGAGAGAAGAGAACAGCTTTAACCCTGAAAGCCACCTTTTCGTTCTTAATATCTCCATAGCTTATTGATATTAAACCTTTCAACTTGTGGAAGCAATGAAGGAGGAAGCTACATAGTGCGGTTTCTTCACAGCCTGATATCCATAGATAACGTGTATGTAATTGTGTAAGGAAAGATTAAGTTCTACCATACAAGGTAAAGAATGAATTACATTTCCACGCACAAGTGAAATTCTTGTCTTACATAGTTCTTGAGTGATTGACTGCAACCTGAATGATGTTCTTCGGTGTGTGTCTGTGGGTTGCATATGGTTTTGTAGGTGAGTTTGGTCAGTTCTCAGGAGTGTGCACAGCCTTGATTTGGGTCAGCAGGATGTACGGTAGTACTGCTTTATCACATAAGCTGCAGGATGTGTGCAGCACCAGATGGTGTTGCTGGAAGATACAGTCCTAATAGACCCACCAGAAAAGATGTGGTTGTATCATCCCACATAAAGAAAATCCCCTTTCAGTTGCCCAACCTTTTGCAGCTTTTGTCTTACATTACCAAAAGTGTCTGGTTCCAGGTTTCTTCTTAATCCTTTTTTTCCTTCTTTGTGTCAGTCTTGTATTTTATTTTTTTCTAGGGAAACTGAGCTTGCAGAACATATTTGGGTTTTTAAAGATAAAATATGTTGTCATAAATGTTTGATTCTTAGCAAATTAGCAGACTACATCTTAATATGCATGTTTTCTGACTTTTTTCCCCTTATTTACAAGATGCAGTTTTGAGTGTCTTCTCTCAGCATGTATTCAAACCAAAGACTCACAGAAGTGGAAAGCTAAAGCTAGTGAAAGCTGATGCCTACTAATTTATTTTCCTGGATGTTAATTAGACTAAAAGGCAAAATAATTTCCTTTAAGTTCTTTAAAATTCGACAGATATAAATGTGGATTTTGGGCTCTGTCTTTCTGAGCGACTTATTTATTATCTGAAGAAATAATCAAATAAGACTTTGATTCAATTTGGGTTGTTCAGTTCAGGGCTGATGAAAAGTTTGGTCTAAGTAATGATATTCGATTTTAGCTTGAATGGATTCATCATATTGTACTGAATTTTTTAATTACCTTTAATTTTTCTGAGCTTCCCTAAGTGAATCATAATAGATGCTAAATGGAAAGAGTAAGAGACACTTTTAAATAAACAGGAGCAAGTAAAAATAGTGTAAAAATCTCATAAGAAAAAAGATTTTATTAGTGCATCCCTGGTGTGTTATTGAGGGATGTTGATCAGTATTCAGTGAAAATGTCACCCTCTTATAGTATTTCCACTGAAACGTCACTTTTGATGTCTAAGCCCTTCATATGTGGTAAGAAGTGGAGGAAGTTATACATGTTTATTCACAAAATAAATGGAATGGATCAAGTATATTTCATAAAAGTTGGCATTTTCTTGAGGCAACAGCCAGAAAACGTAATGCCAGCAATCTGTCATGTATATGATGCATCTCTTTCTCCAGGCAGGAGTTGAGAGAGGTCAGTGTATTATGTTCTGGTTTTTGCAAATGCGTTTTTTTTTATTAATGGTTCACAGTATGTTGCCTGAGTTGAACATACTTGGATTTACTCAATATAAACAGCATTTGCAGAAACAGAAGAACATGTCGTTTCCCTGAAGAAGTGAGTGGAACTGCTGCCTGGAAACCAGTCACATGGCAACAGACTTATTTCTATTCTAAAACTCTTTCCAAAACAAAAGGTAAGTACTCTTTTGTTGACCTTCAGTGCTAAACCTAATAAAGTATCAGTAATTTCAGCATAGGAGAGTGGTCTTTTCTTGGTGGGTATCGTTTCTTTCAAAATTCAGGCAGCCTTCAAATTTTCACTCAGTGCAAGTGGTTTGGGATTTTCCTGAAAGTAACAAATAGTTGGGAACACATATAGAATTTTTAGGAAAAAGGAGGAATAATTCTAAGTAATAGTATTTTTTTCTATTCTTTCTTTCTTAAGACCTAATTCAAAGAAGAAATTGGTTGTGCTCTGGTTTTGAGTATCAGTTGGGTAGTATATATTTACAGTAGTTATTATACTAATCATAATTTATTCGAATCAGGTATCTTTCGAATGTCAGAGATGACAAAGAAGCACAGTGAAGCCATAGTGCAAGTTCACATCTGATCCTGCAGTTTTCTGTGCCAGTAGCTACCAAAGGTTATACTATGTTCATAAATTATATTAAAAGCTATGGTGAACCTTTTTCAAGCTCTAATCATCAAAAGAAAAACCATTGAATTGTTTTTAATTTTAAAATGTGTTAAACACATTATGAAATTAGCTCCAAAGATAGTATTAGTAACTTTCTCCTTACTGTTTTCTCCTTGTTGTTTTCCAATATTGCACTGTAACAAAAAAAAGCAGTTTCTTATCTTTACAGTGTACTTTGATTTTTAGTTATAGAAATATAGAAATATCAGGACTGCAAGGAGAATCAAGTGTAAGAGGAAGAGTTCAAGAGTGGACCTTCCTCAAGTGTAGGGGTTCTACAACTTGAAAAACCTTTTAGAGATTATAGGAAATATATACATTGGCGACATAAAAATCACATCTGATAAAGTCTTACTGGGTACGAATGTGAAGCTGTCTGCTCCTTGATACTGTTTCATTGTGCATTAATAGAGCCTTATAAAGTGTGAGATATTCTTGATTCTCCCCTTCAGCCTTTTTCCTCAAGCAGAAGATATCCCGTATTTGTTGTAGTTTTGAGGAGTCCAAAGTAAAGTGTGTGATAGAACTCGTGTTACTGTGCATTCCTTTTTATGACAAACTTCTCCAGTTTCCATTTCACCTTGTTTCTATGCTCTGAGCAACCTGGTCTCAGTGGAAGGTGTCCCTGCCCATGGCAGGAGGGTTGGAACTAGATGATCTTTAAGGTCCCTTCCAACCCAAGCCATTCTGTGAATCTATGATCCTAGGACAGGTTGTAGCAATTACAGGATGTGTATTTCTGGTTTTAATATCAAATAAAACTACTTATGCTTGCATATTTGCCTGTCAAAGCATATAGAAAACTGTCACAGGTAAAACTGTGAATGCTGATACTAGATGAAATCAGAAGAATGGAACAGAAGAATAGGGTTGTAGATAACATCTCAGGATGTTTAGGAAATTATTGAAATGAAGACTGGACAGATCTCTGATGGAGAAAGTGACTCATAGAACATGACTGTGAAAGAAGAGACTAGCTGCTGGAGGAGGAGATGAATTACTTCACCTGAGAGAGAATGTGTAAGCAGAAAGAGGTGAGTTGTCAAGAAAGAAGAATAATGAAGCCCATAAGAAGAAAGTGATGTTGGTCATGGTAAGGGACTGGAGCCTTCAGTAATATGGGATGAGTAGGAGATGAATGATACCA